CTTACAGTGTTGGAAAAAGTTCCACTCCAAGGGCAATTGGTTCTCTCCTAGGATGTTCAGTGGAATCATTTGGAGATGTCTGAAGATACTGAAGCCAGGCCTTACCTCCAGAGGGTCTGATTTAATCAGTCTGGGCTGCCACATGGGGACTTGTAATCCCATCTCACATGACTCTAATGTACATCAAGGCTGGGAGCTCCGGCTCTAGGGCCAATTAGCTCCTGGCAGTTGGGACTCGTGTAGTCCAAGCCACATTCTCGCACTTGCCTCTTGCATTGCCGTGCTGTCTGTGAAAAAAACTCGCCATTTATCCTTTGTCTCTGGCCTGTTGGTGCTAGCCATGATGCTTTTATAAAGACAAACATGTTCCCCTTCAAGCCTATGTGACAAAATAAGAAATTCTGAAACAGTAATCTTACTGTGAGTTACTAATTCACCTTTTGCTGCTCAATGAATTGCTGGTTGTGGTTGAGCATCATTTATTAATCTATGTGAAAGAAAGCCCATTTCAGATGCCACATGACTATTTGCTTCCCTTATTTATCTTCTGGATGAAACAGAGTCCCGAACATCCAGTACAGCAGTTTGTATTAACAAACAGTTAAGAGCTTGTCTTGTGATTCCTTTGTTCTAGGATTTCCTTGAACACTGGACACGGGTGTTGACTGCAGGACCAGCCTTCCAGGACTCATGGCAGCTCAGAGTCTATCCACAAGGCCAGGTAACCCCTCCTCCATGATGCATGTCTGCAATGAAACCTCTCTCCTCTTACTTACATGTCCTGGTATCGCCCCTCTACCAAGGAGACTGTCAGCAACAACGAGGTCACTTGCTTGCACCCCACTCTTGGTGAGCCCCTGCCTCAAAGGTCTCTGAGCTACTTCAGGAACAGAGTCTCAGTATTTAAGGAAGAGCCTGCCCACCCAGTGAGCCACAGCTTGGCCTCGCTGCCCCCTAAAAAGAATAAGCCATTCTCCTTGTGCCATTCTAGATTCTTCTTTGAAAGATAATGTTCCCATGCATACAATGATGAGATGCTATGGGGTCCTCCCAAAGACAGCACTGTATACTTGCTCAGCTTTGACACAGCATCCTATTTGGGAGAAATCCCATGCATCAATCCATGTCTTATGTGAAAAAGTCCATCTGGGTGTGGTTGCATTCATGTCTTCTTTTCTGCAACAAACAATGAGATTTCAGGGAGGAGAAAGGATGCAGTTGGGTTCTCTTTGGCAGGTCTAGTCTTAGCTAGAGAAAAGGATATCAGAGGAGAGTCTCTTGCAGCATCTGCTGACCTTCAGAAGAGTCTTTAATTTAAAATATCAGCATTTCAGAGGGCCATAGACATTCCCTGGGTTCCTTCACCATAGCGTACTGTTTCATTTGATATTGTAATGAGCTCTTATGCACATGTTTGTGCACCTGTGTGAATTTATCTGTGAGATAAATTTATAGTAGTGGAATTGCCTGATCACAGGATATGTTTATTTAAAATCTTGATAGCTATTGCCACTTGCCTTCCAATGTATTCCCCAATCCCCAGCATCTGCCAGTACCGAGTGCATGTTTGCCCACCGTTCACCAACCTGTGTGCTTTCTCACTTTTTCATCTTCACCATTCCGATTATTAACAGTAGTAGCCCATTTCCATTTTAACGTACAATCTTTAATCACAGACAAGAGAGAACACTTTTTACGTACTTAGAAGCCATTTCAAGTGTTTTTGTTTTTTGCTTTCTATTAGGTTACTGTTCTTTTTCTTAATTTTAAAAATTCCTTGTATACCATGGAAATTAAATACTAAAGAATACTGTTTTGTACTAAGGAATATTTTAATATTTACATACCGAAATACTAAGAGCTATTTAGTTGCAAGTGTTTTTTTCAGTCTATCAATTAGAGATCCTTCAGTTACAAGAGATAAAACTCAACCCATCTAAGTAACAAAGGAGCCTGTTGTGGTGGCTCACTCCTGTAATCCCAGCACTTAGGGAGCCAAGGCCTGAAGATCACTTGAGTCCAACAGTTCAAGACCAGCCTGGGCAACATGGTGAGACCCCTGTCTCCACGAAAAATGGTTTTTTTGTTTGTTTGTTTGTTTGTTTTTGGTGGTTTTTTTTTTCTTTTGAGATGGAGTTTCGCTCTTGTTGCCCAGGCTGAAGTGCAGTGGCATGATCTTGGCTCACTGCACCCTCTGCCTCCCAAGTTCAAGTAATTCTCCTGCCTCAGCCTCCTGAGTAGCTGGGATTACAGGCATGTGCCACCATGCCCTGCTACTTTTGTATTTTTAGTAGAGATGGGGTTTTACCATGTTGGTCAGGCTGATCTCAAACTCCTGACCTCAGATGATCTGCCTGCCTCGGTCTCCCAAAGTGCTGGGTTCACAGGCATGAGCCACCTTGCCAGATCTAAAAATGGTTTTAAATTAGGCATGGTGGCACGTGTCTGTAGTCCCAGCTACTCAGTAGGCTGAGGTGGGAGGATTGTTTGAGCCCAGGAAGCTGAGGCTGCAGTGAGCTGTATTTGTGCCACTGCACACCAGCCTGGGCAACAGAGCAAGACATTGTCTTAAAAATCAATAAATAATAAAGGACATTTATTGGCTCAAAAAATTAAAAAGTGGTTACAATGTTGGGTGAGACCTCATCTAGCAAATGAAGGATCTCATTTCTCTATTTCCCTGTCTTCTGCTTTCCATAGGGTTGGCTTCATCCATCAGCTCCAGTAGCTGTGAGACCTCACTCTCACTCTATGCTTTCCAGAGAGAGAAAGAGAGATTGTCTCTTCTGGGGGCTCCTGCCCAAGACCCAGGATTTTTTCTTTCTCTATGTCTGTCTCGGTCTCTCTGTCTCTGTTTCTCTCTCTCTCTCTGTCACACACACACACACACACACACACACACACACACTGACACAATCATGTGCGCATCCCTGATCTAATTAGTTCACTCACGGGGGGGGGGGGGGCATGCTAATTAGTTTAAGCCAATTAGGATCCACCCCTACCCAAAGTATATAAATGAGAATGGGGAATTAAAAATTCCCCAAGAAAGATGACCCTCTATGAATAACTTCAGGATCAGGGAGTTATAAACAGCCATTGTATAAGAGGAGAACAGTACAGCCTCAGAGTTCTTTATGATTTTACCAAGTCATAGATTTCCTTAAGGCCTGCCTGACTCAATTCTAGCAGATGGAATTCTGTGGCTTGAAAAGGTAAGTCCTCCTAACAGCAGACCATAGAGAAAAGAGCTATGAGACCTCATAGCTTGGAAAAGATGAAGTGCTAGCCATAACTTTTAAAATTTCCGCTAAATTTGTAGGCTAAAATATTTCAAAAATGCAATCCTGTTTTATGTTTAGTAACCATAAAACTTTCCTTATGAGGTTGTCTGTAAAAAGTGCTTTTCCAAGATTATCTGGCTTTCCAGGTTTGGCGTGATTCCTGCAAAATGAGAGTCTAATCTCTAAAGCCTTGAGTGCTGACTGGTAGTCGCGCCTAACTCTATTCAAACTGAGATCTGTAACTTTAGAAGTACAAACTCCCATTCTATTCTTCGTTAAGAACCATCGTCTTACAACACCCTCTTTCTTCTCCTTTTGTGCATAAAGGTCAGTCAATAGATGGCTGGCTGATTCATCTTAAAATAACGTGTTCCAGGAAGTTTATCGTAACAGCCAATTTATCTTTCAGCTTTATGTTAATGTTTTCAGAGCAGACTGTATGTGTGGGGTGTGGGGTGTGTGTGTGTGTGTGTGTGTGTGTGTGTGTGTGTGTGTGTGTTTAAATTTACCAGTACTCCAGTGCTCCCAAAACAACATCTCAAATTGGCTAAACAGTGTGGGTTTCCTTTGGGAAACCACATGGTTCTGAGCAGGAAAATGGTGGACATTTGTGGGCCTTTTTGACTCTCCACCTCCTTTTAAGGAAGCCAAAGAGTTCAGTCTTTCCACCCCAGCCTCTCCCTTCCAGCCTCCCTCTTCCAGCTTCCCTTGCAGCCAGAGTACAAGGATGTGATCTGGGCTTAACCAGTCAGACACGCTGGCCCCAGAGTGTTGAACTGGTGGCTGCTGATCCAAAGCAGTAAGAGAAGTGGATCCACAGAAGTGGCTACAGCAGTAACTGGTTTCTGGGAGCAGCACATGCTGCACGAAACGTGACAGCCATGTCCTCACCAGCAAGATTTTTGCTGTGGACCTTCAGCTGCCTGGGCTCGCTAATTCCTGACCCATTCTCCTGCTGCTTCGAAAGATTTCCCTGTGCTTCTGCGAATCAGGTGCTTTTCAGTCAGTTCCTTTTTGGTTTAGCCAGAGTTGGTTTCTGATGCTAAGAATATTGCCAGTTACAAGAAATAAGGAGAACATCCCTGTTTTAGACTCTAGGTCCCATTTTGCCACCTGAGCACCAGGAGTCCTTTATGAAGACCGTCCCTCTGGTTCTGGTCATGTTTACTGTCTTGTCACCTCCACTCTTCCCCTCCTCCCCTCCTCCCCTCCTCCCCTCCTTCCCTCCTCTCCTCCCCTCCTTCCTTTTTCACTTTCTTCCCTCCTCCTCTCCTTCTTTCCTCTCTGAGGGACCAGCATCAGAGACATTCATGATGCATTCCCACCATCTCTCATTGGCTCAACATCCTCCACAAACCCTCCCTGAGAAAAGCCTCCACGCCATACAACACAACCTCCCTCAGCAGAGCCCTGGGGCCACCAATTCCACTGGTTCCTCCACTGTGCCCAGATTGACTGCCAGCCTAGGACATAACTTGTGCTTAGTTTGCAGCTCCCCAAATTCTGAGAAATGAGTGGCTTTGGAAAATACTTTGTCCTTTTTCTGAATAGATCCTTCTAGATAATCTTTGGCAGGGCTAAATGATTCCAGCTGAGCCTGGTGCCTGCTTCCCGACAGCGTGGACCCTGCCGCTTTCCTTCCTCCTTCCCTCCGTCAACACTCCCTCCCTTCATTTTCATAAGCATTCAGTGAGCACCTCCTAGGAATGAGACGCGATGACAGATTCTCAGCTCAACCCTCTGTCACTGAGGTCTCACTCTAGTAAGGCATACTTATTCCAGTATGTTCTATAACCCACAAAGAGTCACTGTGCGTTCAGTGCAGTCAAGATGATTCCTTCTCTGGTAGGTAACAGAAGTCTCTTCTCTTTCCACTGCAAAAGATGTGCCTTCGGAGCATCTGAATCATAAAAAAGGTGACATTTCTACTTTTCTCAAAAATAATTAAAGAGCCAGGCTAAGCAAGAATCCCTCAGTTATATCACAAGAGCCATCCAGTAGCAACTTCTCCCTGTCATAGCCAATGGCTTAAAGGCACCTAAAGTCCCAGTAAGATTTTCCCAGATCCTAGTTCCTGGGAAGCTTTACCTGGAGGATGGTTGCAGGTTAACTCCAAGTGGCCAAGCTGGTGGAGAGGAAACCCACTGCCTGGGCCACGCTCAGTCCTTCAGGGTTTCCAGGGACCAAAGATTATGCACAGGAACCGCCCAGTCATACCTATTGCCAGTCACTTTGAATAAGCAACTTTGTGTAAATATCAACATGTGTCTGCTGACATATAGAACATGAACCCATATGCACATCTTTACAATAGTTTCATTATAAGGATATACTTTGTAAAAGTTATTGGCATACATAAACACATGCCCATCTCCAACTAATCATATAGTTAAGCTGTTTTTAGTTTTTGCCCCATGAGTTATAAATAGATGAATCCATTTACAACATAATAAAATCCAGCTCTAATCTTTATCTCTGCTGAAGACCACTCTCTGTGATCCTTCCCTGAGCATATTTTTCACAGGCCACAGGACTGGACGGTCAGATTTTCTGCATCTCCAGGTGCCTGGGTCATGCTGGTTTCTAATCCTTCCGGCAGCTAGGCACAGTGATGCACACCTGCAATCCCGGCACTTGGGAAGGCCAAGGTAGGTGGATCACTTTAGGTCAGGAGATCAAGACCAGCCTGGCCAACATGGTAAAACCCCATTTCTACTAAAAATGCAGAAATTAGCTGGGCGTGGTGGTGCACACCTGAAATCCCAGCTACTGGGATGGCTGAGGCAGAAGACTCTCTTGAACTTGGGAGGCGGAGGTTACAGTGAGCCAAGATCATGACACTGCACTCAAGCCTAGTTGAAGGAATGAGACTCTGTCCAAAAAAAAAAAAAAAAAAAAAATCCTTGTTAGAAATTTAGTCAGGACCTGGGAAGGATTATTTCAAATTAGGTCCATCAAGAGGGAAAGGGGGAAGGAATTCCCAAGTGACACTGCCCCCACCCATAACACTTTGAGGATGCCTCTGTCTTCACCTGCTTTGTGTGGATCTAGGTTTACTGTTTCCAAGAAGCAAGCTTCCCTACAGCTTCTAGAAGGGCCCATTTTGGAAATTACAGGGGGCTCTGAAGTTTGGCTTTCTGAAGTTCTGAGAGAGAGATCTGCTCCAGCTCAGGAGGTCCCTACGCACCTGCCAGGTAAATGCAAGTTTACCTGAGAGTCAAGCCTGCCCTTGAGTCCCAGGGCTTAAAGTCTCAGCAGCTTACACAGAAAACTGTGTTCCTCAGCCCACTCACCGAGTGGTCCTTGGCAATGCTCTAATGGCAGTTCCTTAGGAAAACAATTTGTCATCAGTTTAAACCTGAAAATAGACTACATTCTTTACACTACATAGATTTACAATTAACATTTTTAACTTTTTTCCAAATATTTTATTTATTTTATTTTATTTTTGAAACAGGGTCTTAATCTCTCACCGAGTCTGGAGTGCAGTGGCGTGGTCATGGGTCATGGCAGTCAAGACTTCCCCAGGCTCAGGTGATCCTCCCACCTCAGCCTCTGGAGTAGCTAAGACTACAGGCACACGTCACCATGCCAGGTTAATTTTGTTATTTTTTTTGTAGTGATGGGGTTTCATCATGTTGCCCAGGCTGGTCCTGAACTCCCAGACTCAAGGGATCCACCCGCCTCGGCCTCTCAAAGTGCTGTGATTACAAGCGTAAGCCACTACACCTGGCCCCAGATATTTTAATTCAAAAAATTTTTACCTGAAAAAATTTGTTTCAACTGCTAGGCACTTGGCAAAACACTCTCCAAATATTACTTCAGTGATTCTTGTCATACATTTGCATAGTTACCAATGGCCAGGTGCAGTGGCTCACACCTGTAATCCCAGCACTTTGGGAGGCTGAAGTGGGCGGATCACTTGAGGTCAGGAGTTCCAGACCAGCCTGGCCAACATGACAAAACCCCGTCTCCACAAAAAACACAAAAATTAGCCAGGAGTGGTGGCACATGCCTGTAGTCCCAGCTACTTGGGGAGGCTGGGGCAGGAGAATTGTTTGACCCTAGGAGGCAGAGGCTGCAGTGAGCTGACATTGAGCCACTGCACTCCATCCTGGGCGACAGAGTGAGGCTCAGCTCAAAAAAAAGTCTGGTCGCAGTGGCTCACACCTATAATCCCAGCATTTCGGGAGGCCAACGTGGGCAGATCACTTGAGGTCAGGAGTTTGAGACCAGCCTGGCCAACATGGTGAAACCCTGTCTCCACTAAAAATACAAAATTAGCCAGGCATGGTGGCACATGCCTGTAATCCCAGCTACTTGAGAGGCTGAGGCAGGAGAATCGCTTGATCCCGGGAGGCAGAGGTTGCAGTGACTGAGTTCATGCCATTGGACTCCAGCCTGGGCAACAAGAGTGAAACTCTGTCTCAGAAAAAAAAAAAAAATTACTGGTCATCGGCAAAGCCTAAGTCCTGTCCTCTCGCTCTCCTCCCCGGGCAGCACGAGTTTCACCACTCACTCCACCTTCTCCACCAACTACCTGTCCCTGGGCTCCATCCGGGTACCCAGCTACAGCGCCCAGCTGGTCAGCAGCGCGGCCAGCGTCTATGCAGGCGCCGGGGGCTCTGGTTCCTGCATCTCTGTGTCGCACTGCACCAGGCTCCAGAGTGGCATGGGGGTCGGGGGCATGGCCGCGGGGATGGCCAGGGGTCTGGCAGGAATGGGAGGCATCCAGAATGAGAAGGAGACCATGCAAAGCCTGAATGACCACCTGGCCTCCTACCTGGAGAGAGTGAGGAGACTGGAGACTGAGAACTGGAAGCTGGAGAGCAAAATCCAGGAGCACCGGGAGAAGAAGGGACCCCAGGTCAGAGACTGGGGCCATTACTTCAAGACCATCGAGGATCTGAGAGCTCAGATCTTCGCAAATACTGTGGACAATGCCCGTCTTGTTGCTGATGACTTTAGAGTCAAATATGAGACAGAACTGGCCATGCGCCAGTCTGTGGAGAGCGACATCCACGGGCTCCACAAGGTCATTGACGATACCAATATCACTCTGCTGCAGCTGGAGACAGAGATCGAGGCTCTCATGAAGGAGCTGCTCTTCATGAAGAAGAACCGTGAAGAGGAAGTAAATGGCCTACAAGCCCAGATTGCCAGCTCTGGGTTGACCGTGGAGGTAGATGCCCCCAAATCTCAGGACCTCGCCAAGATCATGGCAGAAATCCGGGCTCAATATGACGAGCTGGCTCGGAAGAACCGAGAGGAGCTGGACAAGTACTGGACTCAGCAGATTGAGGAAAGCACCGCAGTGGTCACCATGCAGTCCACCGAGGTTGGAGCTGTTGAGATGACACTCACAGAGCTGAGACGCACAGTCCGGTCCTTGGAGATGTACCTGGACTCCATGAGAAATATGAAGATCAGCTTGGAGAACAGCCTGAGGGAGATGGAGGCCCACTACGCCCTGCAGATGGAGCAGTTCAACGGGATCCTTCTGCACCTGGAGTCAGAGCTGGCACAGACCCGGGCAGAGGGACAGTGCCAGGCCCAGGAGTACTAGGCTCTGCTGAACATCAAGGCCAAGCTGGAGGCTGAGATCGCCACCTACTGCCACCTGCTGGAAGACAGCAAGGAGGACTTCGGTCTTAGTGATGCCCTGGACAGCAGCAGCTCCATGCAAACCATCCAGAAGACCACCACCTGCCGGATAGTGGATGGCAAAGCGATGTGTGATACCAACGGCATCAAAGTTCTGAGACATTAGGCCAGCAGAAGCAGAGGACCGTTTGGGGAGCAGGAGACCAAAAAAAAAAAAAAAACTACTGACATGCTTCCACACATGGCCTCATTGGATTCCCCCAGGAGTCCCTCAGAGTGTGTGGGACTTGCAGGCATTGATTTGATGGGCAAGGAAGCTAGGACCCAAGGGGTTATAAAGACTTGTACAGCTAGTAAATGATAGTAAAGCACTCAGGCCTCTCGAGCACTTTCAAAGTTCAGGCTCAATATAGAAATGGAGGACTCTATCTTGGCATCTTCTAAGCTGAAAGACTGAGGCAATAAACAAAAAACAAAAAACCAGGAAGGCTATTTTCTGAAACCTGCTATTAAATTTTTTATTTGAGTGAGAAGATGCTAACTGTAAATAATTTCCTATTGTCTACGTTTTCCAAAATAAAGAAGGAAAAAATAACTGGACTAAATTTAAGTTCTGACATAAGAGCCTTCTCTATTAGCAGCTGCACATTGGTCACTTGCTTTGCATAACAGTGATATGACATCAACACTGTGTGCCAAATAGTACACAGGAGGTCAAATTATAGTTTAGGATCAGGATCATTATTTAAAGGTGTACTGTGGTAAATTTAATCGCTCATTTTAATCGCTCTGAAAGCAGGATGCAGTCCATGTTGTCATACAACGATTGTCCACCAGGTGGCAGTCGTGATGTAGTAAGAAATGTGAAAAAAAATCATACATGTGTAAGGATCAAGAAATCATCAACTTCAAAATTTTAGATTTTATGAAATACATAACAACTTGCCTGAAGTAAAGTACAACTAAAACAAGAACTGATTTTTATCGAGGATTAGATAATGACTCTAGTTGTTTTTCAATTCTAGTTTTATAAGTCTCATTGAATATTGTTTGTTTAATAATGAAATTCAGCCCTTTATACATATATTTTAAGCCTTTTGAAAGCAAATGAATTGAGGGAAAGACAGATCACAAAGAAATTATCAACCAATTCAGACAACCTAGAGTTCGCTTTTTTTTTTTAATTGACGCAGGGTTTTGCTCTGTCACTCAGACTGAGGGCAGTGATGCAATCACAGCTCACTACAGCTTTGAACTCCTGGGCTCAAGCAATATTCCTCATGAGTAGCTAGGACTACAGGCATGTGCCATCATATCCGGTTAATTAATTTTAAAAAACTTTTTTTGGAGACAGTGTCTCACTATGTTGTCCAGGCTGCTCTCAAATTCCTAGACTCAGGCAATCTGCCTTGGCCTCTCAAAGTGCTAAAATTACAGGCATGAGCCACCACACCTTATTGATGGCAATAACAATTATAATGCAAACATTTTAGCTGTTAGCTTCTGGGACAAACCTCTTCCAGGGAGGAGAGTGGGGTCAGCAGTACATATGTATCACCCTTTAATCTCTCAGTAGTCTCCTATTCATGCCTCTATGAATTATCTCAAACTTAGTGGCTTAAAACACACAAATTTGTTTCCTCAGAATTCTGTAAAAGTTCAACAAGAATCCCTGCTTGCTAAGATCAAGGTGTAGGCAGGTCTGTGCATCCCTTTCTGAAAGGCTTGGGGAGAATCTACCTCCTCGCCCTTTCCAGCATGTAGAGGCTGCCACAGCCCTGGGCTCTCAGCTCCTTCTCCATCTGAAAAGCCAGCAATGCCACATCACTCTGGCTCCATGTCTGTCTTCTCAGCTCCTCTGATTCTCTCTTCTGACCTCCTCTTTGACTTTGAAGAGCTGTTGTGCTTACACTGGACCCATTCAGATAATCTAGGATAGTCTTCCTATTTTACAGTCAACGGATTAGCAACCTTAATTCCCCTCTGTCATGTAACCTAACATAGTCACAGGTCCTGGGAATTAGGATGGGGATCTCTTTCATCTTTGGGAGCCTATTAAAGTCCCTCTCTGTCCTATATAGTACTTAAAATGAATCTCAAAGCCCTGTTTTAAGAAAAAAGTGGCCATCTCCCCTTTCTCTTAACTCTTGATGTAGCTTTCCCTGAATGGCTGCCACAGTCTTCAAAGAGAGGCTCTGTCTCCCAGCTACAGTGTTAAGAAGGTGCTTCCATTTCTTTCCAGGTTGAAGAAGTCATTTCAATTTGCCACAGATCTCTGTGCCTGTCACTGCCCTGACCTTGTAATAACTGAATCTGCAACATCTCTTTTTCCCTTCCAATAGCTAAAATCTTGACCCTTCTCCTGAGGAAAAACATCTGCCCTCAGCCTTCTCAGCTTCACTTTCTCTGTCCTTCATTTTCTCTCTTCACTTCTATCACCTTCACTTTCTCTCTGTCCTGATGGTTTATGGAAAGTCTTTTGACTAAAGGACAATTATTTGCTCTTGTTTTTTAAGCTGCTTTCACTTTTCTGAGTTTCTGATTGTTTTCATCCTCCCACTGTGGTTTTTTCAGAGTCAAAGAGTTTCAGGCACAGACCTTTTCTCTGAGTTCTCAGGTTTGTAACTATTCCACCAAGTTATTCAGCCATCTCAATCCAAGAAGAGGATATAATCTTTGTATAATAGGAGTCCCCATTCCTCTTTTCCTGCTCATTGAGAAAATCCTTGTATCAAACTGAACCCATAATCTGGGTCCTTGACATCTAAAAACATACTTAGATTTATGTAATGACTATGTGAGGTGTTGAGCAATCAAGTTAGTCAGTTACAGCAACAACCCACACTGAGAGTGACCATCAAGCCTTTATTCGCTTGTTCTAATGGTGCAAGCAAGAGGCAGAAAGAAGTGCCCCTAGGGTTCCATTTTCATCATGGAACAGCAATGAAAAAGAAAAATGAAATCCTAAGCCCCTCAACTGGCCAAATAGACCTCCTCTTGGCCAAGGAGACCCCAGAGAAACCTTGAGCCTGAGTTCTCAGCAATGATGGGATGGAAGGGCAGACACACCTCATTATGTACCCTCCCTCCCTCACTAACTGCCAATGGGCTTCCCTCTTTAAGAGCTTAACAGAAACCAGCTCTTTCAAAAGACCCCACCACTGATATCCACCAACAGCCTGACACTGCCCCTCCTTTTTTCCCTGATAAGAGACCACTGACCAGTGGTTCTGGCAAGTCTATGAAAATGCACAATGAGGGTTTTTATGGCCTCTGTCACACCTTTTGACATCAGAGGGCTGAAAACTCCACCCTCAGATCCTACTGATGCCGATATTGTTTGAGCTTGAGTCCCATGGAGAGGCATGAAGCTTCACTGCGCATGCGCACATTTTTTCTTTCATACATAGTCATGACTCCTCCTGTAGCTCATTGAATATGTCTATTTGACCACCCTACTCGGCATGAATTTCTCTTCCCCTTTGCCTCTCCCTCAAAGTGTCTGTGTCTGGCTTCTGGCCAGAGTCTGTTTCCCAGCCTGTCAGAATGGCCATTCTGCAGGCTGCAAACCTTTATGAGTAATAAAGCTCTCCTTTCCACGTGTAGAGACTTCTCATTCTTCAGTTGACAGCATGGAGCAAATGGGGTGAGTCACCACACTGCTCAGAATCAAGAATAGAAGGCTTGTGCCTGTTCATGACTGCCTGTGGGGTTTGGGGAGAGAGAAGAGTGTGGGGGCCAAGGCCCTTGACTCCCTAAACATTCACTGAAAAAATTACTGACATGAGGCAGATTGATTAATAGGAGAAAAGGTATATACATTTATTTAATGTGTAAATACAAGAGCCTTCAGAATGAAGACCCAAGCTCCCAGTGAGGCATAAAAGCTTATATACTACTAATTAAAAAAAAAAAAAAAAAAAGGCCAAACTCTGCAAAACATTTGAAAAGATTAGTTCTGAGCAAAATATGAGTGACCATGGCCAAAGGCATGGTTTCTAGAGATCCTGAGAACCTGTGTCCCAGGTGATTGGGTTACAGCTTGGTTTTATATGTTTTAGGGAGACATGAGACATCGATCATAATGTGCGATATACATTGTTTCCATCTGAAAAGGTGTGACAGCTCCCAGTGGGGTGGTGAGGGGCTTTACAGATCATAGGTGGATTCAAAGATTTTCTGATACATTGATTGAAAGAGTCAAGTTACCTAAAAACCTTGAATCAATGGGAAGGAGTGGCTGGGTTAGGATAAAGGGCTGTAGAGACCAAGGTTTTGGTTTTTGTTTTTGCTTTTTGAGACCGAGTTTTGCTCTTGTTGCCCAGACTGGAGTGCAATGGCGCAGTCTCGGCTCACTGCAATTTCTGCCACCTGGGTTTAAACGATTCTCCTGCCTCAGCCTCCCCAGCAGCTGGGATTACAGGTATGAGTCACCACACCCAGCAAATTTTTGTATTTTTAGTAGAGAAGGGATTTCACCATGTTGGTCAGGCTGGCCTCAAACTCCTGATCTCAGGTGATCCACTGGCCCCGGCCTCCCAAAGTGCTGGGATTACAGGCACCAGCCATTTCACCCGGCTCAGTCCAAGGTTCTCACGAAGTCTCTTAGGTGGCTGCCCTTAGAGACAATAGATGGCAAATGTTTCCTATTCATATCTTTAAAAGGTGCTAGATTTTCAATCAATTTCTTCAGGATTGAGAGACTATAGAAGAAGAAAGATCTAGTTATGTTAATAGAGATTCTTTACAGATGCAAATTTTCTCCCATAAAAGAAGGCTTTGTGGAGCCATTTCAAAATATGGCAAATGAACATATTTTGAGGTAAAATATTTTGATTTCCTTCATCTGCCATGTAATGTCATGCCAGAGCAGGTTGGAAAGTAAGCCACATTATATAAGGTTAAACAAAATCCATCTGATGAGATTTTACGATCTGTAGGATGGGCCTCCCCAGGTCCCTTAGATAGGAATTTGGGCAAGAGAAAAAAAAAGGTCAGAGTTTAGTCTTTAATACCATCCTGAAGGTACAGAAAGAATGGGGGCTTGGATCCTGGTGAAACAGGTTACAGGAGGGGAAAGAACAGGAATTCTGTTGCGGGGATTACCAGAGAGAGTGGATGGATCTGGGAACAGATATTACCTTGTACATAGTTCTCCCTGGAACTTGGAGACACTCATTATACCCCTAACAGAGTATGTTCAGGTACGGGTACATTCTGGGTTTTCTTTTCTGCAATAGATTAATAAAAGGGAAGGGAAGAAAAAACAATTATTCTCCTTGGTGGGTCTGAATTTTAGGCAGGTAAAGGAACTTCAACTTCCATGGGAGAGACAGAGGAGAGGTGAAGATCACTGAGACCTTGGGGCTTCTTCAGCTCAGTATGTCAAAATGCTGTGTTTGGAGTAACAATTTCTGAGCCCCAACAGGAGAAAGGTCCAGATCATAGGTGGATTCGAAGAACAGAAAGATATTGAAGCAGCATCATTG